CCCAATTAATGAGGCAGAAATCTACCAGCAAAAAGAAACTGCATTTAAAAGAAAATCAATCAAAGATTCATTGTGGAGGTGACTCACTTTCTTCAAGCCCACTTTGTATATACTATGTGATGACTATGACAGCTTCGTAATTGCTTTGTGACACAGATACCAAGCACCCTGAATTAACAGACAAACCTTTAAAGATTCTCAAAAGGAAAGATCTGAACATGAAGAACAAAAGCATTTTTTGAGACAAGGTCTTGCTATGCAGTCCAAACACTATGTAGCTCAAGTTAGCCTTGAACTCACAGAATCCTCCTGTCTCAGCTTCCAGTGTTGGATTTGTGGGTGTGTACCATCATACTTGGCCAGAAGCAATTGCTTCATCAAATATGTCTGCACTGAGAGCATCATTCTTTGTGGCTAACCACATTGCTAAAACTAAGAAGCCCTTTACTATTGAAGAATTGATCCTGCCTGCTGCTAAGGACATCATGAACTTTTAGGAGTGGCTGCATTTCAGAAGGTGGCACATGCTTCTCTTCTGGCTACCACAACTAGATGAATTGATGAAATAGCAGAGGATACTGAAGCCCAGTTGTTAGAATTAATGAATCATTGTGGCATGCAATCCAAGTTGACAAATCTGCTGTTGTTGATCACAGGGCAGCAGTGCTTGTTTTTATAGGATATACTTTCCAGGAGGATGTGCATGATGATATGTTATGTACATTTCTTTGAATCCTTACACAGTAAGAAAATAGAATTGGTTATTTTGTGTCAGTGTATGCATGGGGACTGAGCCAGGGCCTTCTTCCTCCCAGTTGGTGCCTGATCACCTATCACAGGTTTCACAAGACTTTGAGCCTTACTTCCTAATCACAAAAGATGCCTGAATTGGGAAAGAATCAACCTGTGATTTGTGACCCATTTGTGAATAAACCCAGTGAATTTACTTCCCATGCTAGATCAGCTTTTTGAGACTGGAAATTATGATGACCTTAAAAGTATGTTTGAGACAACTTTAAAATGCCCTATATATTCTGGATTAAAGTCAAGGCAGAATATCCTGACATTGCCACAAAAACACTGAAAAGTCTGTTTCCATTTCCAACATCCTGTCTTTGTGAAGCAGAGTTTTCTGTAGTGATAACAAAATGAGATTATAGAGTAGAATGAGCATAAATGACACATTTCTGGTGTCACTGTCTCCCCTGTCACCGTTAGACAGGATGCTTTACCTGCAGAAAACAAGCTCAGGATCCCACTGATTCTACATTATGGTGAGTTGTATGATTACTTCCTTATGTATTACAATGTAATAATAATAGAAATAAAGTGCACAGTAGATGTAATGCATGTGAATCATCCCAAACCAGCATCTTCCTAGTCTCTGGAAAAAACTGTCTTCCACAAAATGAGTCTCTGGTGTCAAAAATGTTACGTACTGCTGTTTTATTCCAATGAAGTTGACATATCAGGATTAGCAGTTATAGACCCCTGAAGCAGGCCTGTTCAAGTAAAATCCACTGCTTGGAAGGCCTTCCAGGCCTTGGACTCCTATAGACAGTCTCTGAGTCTGTACAGGACCAGGTGGCATCCTGCAGCTTCAGGCTCCAGGCCTGCACAGGGGACTTGGTGTCTAGTCCTATCCCCCCCACCTGGCTAGTCCCAGAAGGCCCAGGCTTCAGGTCTGCCTGAGCTCTAGGCCTACTCAGGTCCTAGCCATCCAGATGGCCGCTGTGGACACAGGCCCAGGCCCACCAGGGCCAGGTCAGCTCCTGTAGCCCTAGGCCAGGCTTGTACCCACAGGCTGAGCTTCTAAGCCCACCTTGTTCTTAGGTGGGCTCCTGCCACCTTAGGTCCAAAGGCTGATTAGCAGGCTCAGTCTTCATGAGGTGGAGAAGCGCTAACTCTCCCTTTTCCTGGGGCCAATATCTGTCATGCTCCTCCCTCTTGCTTCCTTTCACTCCCCCGTGCCTCTCCCCCAACTTGCTTTAATGTCTTCCTGGATTACTTCATAGCCACTTAAAGAAGTGGTGGAGAAACTACCTCAACACACCAGAGATCAGGGAGGGATCTGGGCCCATTATTAACATCTCCAACCTCCCCAAATCTCAATAAGGTGCAATTAACACAGCTAGCTATCTTGAGGAGCCAGACTATCTTTTGTGGAGATGTGACAACTCTCAATCAAATGGCTCAAGTCTTTGGTATTTTCTCTAACCACCGCCATGACAGCTATAGCCATCTTGGCTGCCCCACATGTCTGCACTGACTGCAGTAGATCTGAACTTGACCTAAGCAGTAGAATTGAATTTGAGTCAATCTGTAAGCTCAGTCTGGAAGGCTTGTATTTAGAGAAATATGCACCAACAGGTAGGTTCAAATTTGGAACAGTCAGTAGGCTTAAACTTAGACCAGTCTCATACCTGAATTTGGACCAATCAGCAGGTTTAAATTTGGATCAATCACAGGCCCACAGCTGCTATAGAAGCAGCACTCTCCTCAGGCTACTTGGTTTGGTCTAGGAGGGTTCCCTCTGGTGTATTAGTATGCACGTGTGGCAGCTCAGGTCCTATTCAAATAAAGCCTTGCTCCAGTGGTTCTATAAATCTCCTTGTGATTTTGGGTAGGTCCTCGAATTATCCTGAGTAGTATTTACAGAAAAGTTGCCTTAACAAAAGAGTTATAAACTCTAGAGGCTGTTAGCCCTGAAGGGCTTCAGAAACTAGCAGCCAACAGAGATCAGTGACAGAAAGCAGCAACTGGCAGAGACCTGCAACTCATGTTGCCAATGGCATCGGGCATTGGCTGGTGTCAAGCAGGATCATCAGGCCTCAGAGGTGTAACGCGAAGAGCTGAGGGCTGTTTGTGCTCAAGGTCTGGAGCCACTAGTAGAGCTGCGTTCTGTTGATTCATGATTTCCAGCAAAAGAGTCCTCAATTGATTTGTGACTGGTGACATCTGGATCTGCTCTAGGACCACAAGCTCTAGACAGGTCCCAGCTCCAGGCCAGCTCTAGAAGCCCCAGCGTAGGGATTATTGCCAGAACTGCATTGTGCCCCCTGGCAAGTGTCGTTAGACCCACCCTAGCACCAGGCCAGTTACTGCAGTCTTAGTCATAGGCTGGCATCTATGGTCCCTTCGTGTAGTCACAGGCCTGTGGTGTGCTTTTTTAAAAAGGTAATCAAGTTTGTAAGTGAATAGTGAGACTTATGAAGGGAATAAAATAAAAATATGCAACCAATATCAGAAATTAAAAAGGAAATGTCACTATCTCCCTCAGGCATTAAAAAATTAAAAAGATGACATCACAAAGTATTTTAAACCAATAAATGTGAGAATCTTAAAAATGGGAAAAATTATACAAACAAAAATATAATAATTGGCTAAAAGAGGTAGAAAATGAAACTGCCATTTAACTTGTAAAAAAAATTATCATAATTAATATTTCCCATAAAGAGTTCTAGTCTTAGTTGACTTCACCATTGGATTCTACCCAATGTTTAGGGAAGAAATAGCACACCTAGCCTTCTGTGATCTCCCACTGTGATCTTATAAGACCACAGTCCATCAGCCATTGTTAAACACATCACTATTAATTGAACTATACACTTACTGTGACTTCACTAGCTTTTTCTTAACCTCCTTTTCCTGTTCCAAGGCCCATGTGGGTTTCTACATTACCTTTAGTTGTTATGTCTCCTTAGTTTCCTCTGATCTGTGACAATTTCTCAGAATTTTCTTGCTTTTGATGAACTGGACAGTTTTAAGGAGTACTGGTCAGATATTTCTCAGAGTATTACTTTGAGTTTTTCCTCATTGTTGGTCAAGGGTTATAGATTTTGGAGGTGGAAGATGACATAGTGAAATCCTATTCTTACCACATTATACAAGAAGCTCACGATATTAACACCAATTTCTCCATAAACTCAGAAACAGGATTTTATCAGGGTTATCCACATAAAGTTACATTCCTCTTTCTTTCTACACTGTTCTCTTTGGAAGCCAGTTACAAGCGCACACAGAGAGAGAGAAAGAGAGAGAGAGAGAGAGACAGAGAGAGAAACAGAGAGAGACAGAGAGAGACAGAGAGAGAAGGAGGGAGGGAGAAAGAAGAAGAAGAAGAAGAAGAAGAAGAAGAAGAAGAAGAAGAAGAAGAAGAAGAAGAAGAAGAAGAAGAAGAAGAAGAAGAAGAAGAAGAAGAGAGAGTCTGAGAGTAATCTCTATCTCCTTGAGAAGGGGATATTTACATAAATTAGTTGGAATTATTCTATATGGTATATCTTTTTCTCACCAAGTTATTAATTTATTCAATTATTTATTCATACCAACAAGGTTTCATAGATATTTATTTATATATTACATTCCAATGCTATGTAATTTATTCTGTTGCTCAAACTGTCCCAGCTTTGGTCATTCAAATCTCTTTCAGATTGACTCCTGTTTTCCTTTTGCCCCATTCTTCCAATTTTTAAGTACTTCCTTACTTTGTACCACTATAAGATCTTCTAGCCTCATCCCTAACATTCCTTGCCCCAGCCTTAGAAGAGGAGACAAGAAGATAATAAAATGAACACATGCCACGAATTAGTGGATGGATGGAATCTTAAAAATGCCTGTAGTGCCCAAGGCATCATTTTAATCCTAAACTCACTTGTGAATTTTCTCCAATACTTGCTTCACTTTTCCCTCTCCTGAATTACATATCAATTTTTCTGAGTTTCTTTTTCCAATATTCCATATCATACTGTTGTTTGTATCTAGGCCCTGGTTATAACTGACTTTTTGATGAGACGTTCTGAGTTGTCCTTATCAGTGTATTACCTGGCATATGGTAATTGTTTATCCTCTGATTAAAGAACAAAGTCAGAAGCTTGGCATTGAATCTTTATTAGAATCTGCTTGAAAGTCATTCTGGAGATCAAGAAGCTAGAAGGTAGATCTCATCACCTTGGTGCATTGGAATACACTGAGGAATAAACGCAGAGAAAATTATACTTGATTTATTTGTGATATGTCTTGGGGATTGAGAAAATTTCCATTGCTTCTCCATCTTGAGGAAGAGTTAATGCAAGTGATGGTGGCTTTGGACGAGGTGACTTTGTAGTTTTTTTGCGTTCTTCCAGTTCCTTGATATTGAGGCAACAGTATCTCCCGTTTTCACATAGTACCTCACGTATTTCAGTCACTTTGCAGATTTTTCTGCAGTGTCCCTGTACATAGTTTCCCCAGCATTTCTTAAGTTGCTCTGTTACTGTGCACATGAAAGAACAATAGGCCAAGATCAATGTTTGGGGCTGAAGGTGACTTGGTTATGGGGAGGGGATAAGTGATTTGTAGGGGTTAGGAGTTGGGGTATCCACAAGACCTGTTCTCATATCTTAAAAAGGATTCTCTAATAAGATGAACCTCAGCAAATCTCCCTTACCCTAGAATGTTTCTAGTGTACAGTGTCCTTTTGGCTGCCCCATCTCTCATGCCCAGAGAAATTGTTACTGTATGTTTATGCCTGAGTCAAATTCTGCTCTTGTGTTCAGACGCACTCCCACGGCCAAGAATCACTCTCTTGTTAGTCAGTCAGGTTTTTTTTTCCCTTCGAAGATCTTCCTCCCCTATTTATTCTCAGCATTACACACTTTTACCATTGCATATCTTCCCTTGGTTTCTGTGTCATCACAGTAATCTGGTCATCTTTCTAATTCTTGAATTTGCTTTATCCCTCTATGACTTCCCATTCTCCCCCTACCTCGGAGGCAAGAATTACTGCAGTGTTCAGTCCCAGACTTCTGCTCATCTTGCTTTATATTTTTTCCTTTAGTGACTTAATACTTTCAGTGAGATAAGAACTAGGATATTCAAATTTTGGCTTCTGTAAACAAAAATGTTGCCTTCAATCCTAAGTTTTAGATAGAAGGCAATCTAAGATCCTCTGAATCTTAGAAACTTGGGGGCAAGATCGATCATTAGTATTCTTATAATGAGGGAGAAAGACAAGAGATCTGGTTTTGAAAGAGAAAAGGAAACTCTAAGTTTTAAATTAAAGTATGTGCTAAACACTACACTAGGTGCCTTCACATCTGTTGTATCACTTAATAAAACCTCTGTGAGCCTGGTGTTACTATCTCCACAGATGAGGAAACTGAGGCTCATAGAGTCTCCCCTGCTTATGCAAAGTTGACAAACTAGTAGATAATGAAGGTATATTTCTTAAACCTGATTCCAAAGTTTGAGTTTTTCTCACTATTTAGACACTATGGTGTAATAGACTAAAATGTATATTTGAATGAAAAAAAAATATGGTTGAGGATCAGAGTAATAACTATGCAGAGAAATAAAGATATCTCGAGATATTTGGCTCATTCTTTTCAATAATAATGCCTTCTCAGAAGAAATTATGACCTCTTTTCAGGTCTATGACTACTTATTTTTAAGGATAATACCATGGCCTGAGGCAGAGGATAGACTCTGGTCCTCCCTGAGGACCCTATCTCCCCATACTGCGGAGTAGTATATTTCCTTGGGGTTTTGGAAATACTCCATCCCACTGTTAATTTGCGTGAAGGCCTGGAAAGCTCTGAGTTACCTGTGGGCTTCTGGATCAGTAGAATTGCAATGATCAAGAAGAGATTCATGGTTAGGCTCCCAGATGTGGAAGCAGTCAAAGCTCCTGGTCCTGAGAATTGCAGACTATATCACCTTCTCAGTCATAGATTCTTATGCACTGAACCAGAACAGATGTTGTGATATGATGAGTGCCCACAAACCTCCAACCTGTGGGCTGGGCAGCATGTAGGCAGGTACAGGAAATTTAAAGTCACCCACACACAGAATTCAGAGACACAGCGTGTTCCATCCTGTCACTCCTGATGCCATTGGTAGGCTGTGAAATGCTGGTGGGAAGTTTTATGTCTTCCCTATTTTGGCTATGGGCTCAGCTGTACCAATACAGTCATCTACTCTCCACTCAGAAATAGCACAATAAAATAAAGACACAAATCTAAAAATCTAACAAAGGGCTGGGGATTTAGCTCAGGGGCACAGTGCCTGCCTGGCAAGCATGAGGTCGTGAGCTCAATTCCTGGTACCAGAAATAAAATAAAATAAAATAAAATAAAAATCTAACAAGAAGAATTTCTAGAGGTCTGCCCATAATGGTTTTCTTTCATGCTGGAGAAGAAGTAATGATGAAAGAGGGTCTGATCCAAGGTCATCTGCTCAGAATGTTGGAATGTTCAAAATTCTTCAACATGAAGCATGGTGCATAAAGTGTGTGCTCTTGAAATCTGATTCAATGACCTTTACGTTTACAGGACACAAAGAGAATGTAAGCAACACTTGCTCCCTTTTTGAGCATGGTGTCTTTGAAAATTCTTTGTTCTTTTCTTTTTGAGACAGGGTCTCTCTATGCAGTTCAGGCTGGCCTTGAACTCACTTTGTAGCCCAGGCTAGCTTCAAATTTGCAGCAATTCTCCTGTCTCAGCCTCCTGAGTGCTGGGATGGAAATTCTTATTATAGTTATTCTATCCTCTTTACTAGGTATTAACTACTTAATGATGGCAATGAAGCTACTGTAAGCCAGGTGTCTCATAAGTACTAAAATATTCCACAAAGTGAGAGATATTTCTCACACCTTCCAAAATCTTGACATCTGGGTATCACTGGATACATATTCAACATGAGAACAAATTCTAGCCTACATCATATATATCAACTAGAAGAGAGGAGAGGGTATAATGTTCAAGAGGAATAAAGATGGTCTCCTTATATAACAAAAAGTATAATCTAAAGATGTTCCTTTATGTAATCATTGAAAGTAAAGGCGGAGAGGTTTTTTTTGAAACCTGGCAGACCTAATTCCAAATCATTTCACACAGAGGAAAGGCCAGCAGAGTTTTCCCAAGTTCAAATGGAACACTGTAAACTAAACATAATTACATTTAACATTGTAAAATATTTAGAATATTTCTAAACAACACTTTACAGTTGTTTTTATGAAGGACCTGATATCAACCCTTGTTCATTTCTAACTAAGAAACCCACACATATTCCAGATTCTGTTATATATCGTGAACCATGCAAGATTCTAGTAACAAAATTGGTGGGTAAGACATTAACAGCATTCCTTCTAATGAAAGAATTCACTTCAGAACAAATGGAACATGGCAGTGAGCCCATATTTGTGGAATTTGTGGCTCCTATCATGTCCATCAGCACTCTGGATAGAAGAGTGAAGTTACCTCTCGATCATTCAGTGACAGTGCTAACTACATGATAGTTCTCTTGTGTGCTGAGGCATTCATTCAGTCCTTCAAAACACAGCAAATACTCTAAATCAGAGCTCAATACATGGCTCTCTTTTCCAACATCCAATATTCATAGGTCCAGAAATTGTAAGGCAGACACCTCAAGCCTCTGAAAGGCTCTTGTACTAGATTTGATAATGAATTTGGGGCAACAGCTGCTTTTCCATGCATAGCATTATTGCTTTCATTCTGTTAGGGCTGTTGTTTAAAAAGTGCCTAAACTTAGTGCTTCCCCGTAGTGATAGTCTCCAAATCAAGAGCCAACTTCAACTTTAATTGATGTGCAAAAGTCTCTGAAAAATATGCTTCAGAAGTTGTGCACAGTTGTAAGTCAGATTGCATATACAATCTAAACAATACAGGTTTAGATATGAGAGCAGTATGTAAGGTACATAATTAATACATTTTTATTTTAAAAATAAAAGAAGGACAACATATTAACCAACAGACATCCATATACAAAATAGCACAAGAACAGTATAAACCATACAGAGTTACAGACAAAACTGTAGGAAATTAACCATGGTTGTTGTATTAAGGATTGATGTCTTGAAAGTGGTTTCTCAGGAAAACAGAGACATGCAAGATTGATCAAATAAGTAATCATTAACTGTTCCTTTCCGTAAAGCAATAGAAGACAGTAGTACAACTATGTTGGCTATCCTGTATATACATACATGCAAAATTTCCCCTTCTTTCCCTTCTGTTTTCCCACACTTTTACTTTTGAGCATGTTTCTTTCGTTTCACAATGTCTATGATACTCCTAATTTTTATTCACTCTTTCAGGTTCTTACACTAGTGAGACAATACGTTGCTTACACATGCAGGTCTGATTTATTTCACTTATGAGTATGGTCTGTAGTTGTGACCATTTACCTGTAAAAGCCT